TTTTTTTAAACGGAAATGAGTGACAGGAGCAGTCTCTAACATGACTTATGCTGAGTCTGCAGCACAAACCGTGCATGAACCAGGATCACACACTGCAGAGCTGTCTCCTCAGCCAGCAGTGAGGAAAGGCTGCTAAGTTAGTGAAGGAGCAGAGTGCTGTACTCTTGGGCAGTGTGTTTTCAGTGCCGGACATGAACCAAAACTAATGTCACCTCCTCTGCTTCCCATCACCCTTCTGCTTGTGGGAAAACTGAGGCACATGCAAGGGAAGCAACTTAAATCGATTCACAGACCCCAATTTAACATGCACCTGTTTTCCTTAGGGAACAATGACAGCGTATTATGTGTTTAGTTTAGAGCTTTTTAAGGGAACTGAAAAAACCTAACCCAGATTAGATGGTTAATCCAGGTTTAGCTAAACCACATGGGTATTCTTAAATTCCCAACGTGCCTTCAGCTCTCCTCTTGTTCGCTAGTGCAGGTAATGGTGCCACAGAAGTTGAAGGGTGCATCACCTTGTCTTCCCTAGAACCAGAGTAAGTTAATTTAAAACACCAAACCTCCCAGGGAAATAAGGAATCGAGAGCAGAAGCATCTCATAGCACCTTCTTGCTTTGCAGCCCTCCTCCATTCGCATCCCAAACTGTGGGGTACAAGAGCACCCACATGGGATAAACACACAGTCCCTGCAGCTGTGGGGCCACGCTTTGGAGAAAAGCCACAACATCCTACACGCCGGGCGAGGAAAACCTCGAATGAATGCCTTGCAAGAGGTAAATCAAAGCAGCAACAGCTCTCCCTCCCTGCACCAAGGGGCAGGGCTGGGCAGGGAAGCCCTATGCCAGCACGCGGCACGCTGGGTCACCCTGAGCCACTCTTGGCCAGTTTTTGCCCATGTGTGCAGCCCAGCGTGGGGTTGGCCAGTGCTGCTAGCAAGGTAGAAATAAATAAATCAAAAACTAATTGAGAGTCATTTGGAATCTCCTGCTCACCGGCTGTGTACCACACAGTGCCTCTTCCAGGCCAGGCTCTGCCTGGGCGCAGTCTTGCTCCTTTAGATGAATCAGCCAGAGGACAGGTTTACACAGGAAAATTATTTCCGCGTGCGTTTCAATAGCTGTGCCTGTGCAGCTCCTCGTGTCGGTGCACGACTGCTGCTTTGCAGCAGAGAAAGGCTCCCCCCGATCCAAACCCCGCTCCCCTCGCCCCAGACAGTGTCCCGCCACATCCCGGGGCTGCCGTGGGGAGCGGCCACTGAGCGGGCTCTCACCCCGCCACCAGTCATCTGGGGACACGAGTGGCATTTTGGGCAAAGCCACACTGCAGGACATGGAGGGCTGGGGTGTGCCGGCACCTGCAGAAACACTGTGGGGAGTCCCTGGCCAGGAGGGCTGGGGACCACCGTCCCCCCCAGACTGTCTTTCCTGTCTCTGGCTTGGCTCCTTGCCCAGCCATAGGGAGTGGGAGATGAGAGTTCAGGGACAGGACTCTGCTCACGTAAAGAAAAAAAAAGAAAAAGAAATGCACAGGGGTGCAAGTCCAGGAGATGTGGGCTGACTAGCCTGGGCGTGGTGACCTTCTCCAGCAGCATCACCTTCACCTTTGCCTCCTCCACCAGGTAGGGACGTTCTTGCTTCCTCAGAGGACAGACAGACGGACAATGCAGCTTTCAACACAACGTGCCCAAAAGCTGGTGGGAGATGCAGCTGGTGGGGGGGTCAGCTCCCAGTTAGGGCCATGTCGCCATGGGCTGGGGCCACCACCAGCCACCTTCCCCTCCCAGGCACCGTCCCCGGGGCTCTGCAGCAGGAGCACAGCCCTTCCAGCTGAGCCCCTGCGCCCACATGAGTCACCATCCTCCTTCTCCACTACTCTGACCTTGACCCTTGAAACTTCAGCTTCTTTCTCCACCCTTCCTCTATGGACTATGAACACTTCCAGGCCACAGCTATCTTTAGCAAGCATCTACACACCATCCAACCCAGTGAAATGTGGTTTTATCTGAGGTTTCTAGGCGTTACTGCAACAGGGACAACACACTCCCCCCTCTCAGAGATGTGTCAGCCCTCTCCATGCAGCCCAGGATTGCATCCAGCCCCGCAGCAGGCTCCAATTTCAACTAAACACAGCTTTTCATCTAACAAAAATCACCCAAACCAGAACACGGAAATCCTCTGCCACCCCAGAGGGGGATCTGTGTGGATCTCCCCAGATAATCAAATTTAAAACACCACCAAAACCAGACCTTTGATTAGCAGCCATGGAGTCCATTCATAGCGACAGCATGTCAGGTCAATGTTCACTCCCAATATCAACTGTTTGCCTCGGGAAAGGGATTTTTTTATTTTTATTTGATGGTCTGCATCTGAGGTCTCGTTAATAAACAGTGTACTTGGGTGTGCCATCTGGCTGGCCATGGAGCACGCCTAGAAATAAGACTAATAATCATCATATGGTGGTGCTTTAAAAGGCCATTTTACAAAAGCCTGGGGAAGCTGGTTGGAAGCTCTCAGGCACGTTTTGTGTGCCCCGAGAGCTCAGCCTTCAGGCAGTCTGCCTCTCAACTCAGACGCTGTCAAAAAGGGTCAGAGTCCAAAATTACGCTGCTGTTTTACTTAGAGACTCATCTGAACAGCGGTTGCTTTTTTCTCAAGCCAGCTCACAGGAATTGACTTGTGCAAGTTAGAGCTGGACTGGTGCTTTAAAAAAAACAAAAACAAAAACAAAAACAAAAACCAATACAGCTTACAGTATTTTGAATGTCAATGGAACAGAAGCTGGTTGCTGGCGCTGGGCAACACTTCCATGTCTCATCCCAAGCAGGGCTTGCCCCGAGGGACACACACCACTCATCCAGGGACTGGGCAGCAGTAGACCCAGGGCTCCAGACCCAACATTTACAGAACAAAAGCCAAAAATCTCATTCCTGGATTCACACACATATCTCCTTGCAATGCAGATGAGGCTCTCCCACCCCTCGGGAAAGACCCAAAGCAGGGACACAGCCCAGGCCCCTGCCCACCAGATTTTGCACCCCTCATTTTCCCATACACATCCCTGTGCAGGAGCTGCCCATGTCGCCGCCATACTGATGCCCCCAGCCCCACAACACAGACAACTGACCTAATTTTCCTCTTTTTAACCACCCAGAGGTCATCTCAGTCTGCAGCAAACCTCACTGAGCAGGGAAGAGAAACACAGAGCAATCTCTGTTAACATCAGTTCCCCTCTCCAACCTTCCTCCAAATTTTGCCCTGCGCTACCTCTTCAAAATGCCCAAGGACCCACATCTCCCACATCCCTCAAGGCTGTAAATGGTGACAAAGAGGAGAAGCTAGGGCGGTCCCCTGCCATTGCTGGGTCCATACACGTTGGGGTTGTGTGTGATGGCTCCCTACGTGCACGAACTCCACCTCATTCTCCTTCATGACTTGGAGCATCTCACCTGACGTTCCTAAGGGCGTTTCTTGGCTCGCTCCACGCAGCAAGACGTGGGGAGACGTCACCCACATCTATGCTTTGCCTGCTGCCTGGTGACTCAGCCGGGGTGAGAACACTCCCTCCCAGTTAACCCAGTTGCTCCAGCACTGCCTCCCTCCTCTCCAGCCCTTAATGATAAGATTTGCCCCATCTGCCTTTCTTCCCAATCTGCCGTTCCAGTAGATCTGACCTAACTCAGATTTTCCAGTCTGTGGCAAACCCTGATGCTTCCAGGCACATCTTCCCATACCTGTAACAACCACCAAAAAAAATGAAAAACTCTCACTCTCCACCCCCAAGAATCACCTTTTTTAGTAAGAAGGTCACTCTAGTCAACTGGAGCATTGCTTTTAGGTTCTGATTTTTCAGAGCTTATGCAAGCAGAAAAACACAGCACTGAAACAAAAAGGAAGGACATAAACAGAGAATTTTGGTGTTTGGAAAAAAAAAATTATAAAATTACAAACATCATGTCCCTGCAGAACATTTCGATTCTGACTCAGCCCCAGCCTTGACAGGAAAGTGCAGGTGCTCAACTCACGCCGAGCCTGGACCAAACCCTAAAAGACAACAAGGCTGCTGCCAGCACAAGGCAGCCAGTGCAGCAGAAGCCCAACGCACCCGCACGCAGGTACCGCTTCCCCTGCAGGGCCCTGGAGAAGGGTCAGGGGCTCCGGCAGAGCCTTGGCTGTCACTTTCTGGTGGCAGCAGGAGCAGGGAACCCGGGAGGGCTGGAAGTCATTGCAGGGTGATTTGTTGGGGAGTCTCCTCCAAGGAGAGACCTTGCAACTCACGGGCAGGAGAAGGGGAGCCAAAGGGTCAGGCTGCTGCTCAGACCGTTCTTTGCAGGAATACAGACACCCTCAACTCAGCAACACTTCTCTAATGACTGACGGATTGCTGGTTGGAAAAAAAATAATTGCGCGCTGGCTTATAAAAGGCAAGATGTGAGGGTGGGTAGGGTGAAATGAAGAGGAACACATTCATTATGCAAGACCTCAAAGCATCAGCTACAGCAACTTTTTTAACACAGCAAAGGAGAGGAGGCGGCAGGTTTAAACACCAGGCGAGGCAGGGGCAGAGCACAAAGCTTCGCTTGCCTCTGGTGTAACAAATATCCCTTTGGAAAACAAACCTCTGCAAAGCTCCTGTGCTCTCCTCCTGAACTCAAGCATGAAGGCAGTCCCGTCTGATAGGGACTTAGAGGAGAGGTTCTGCCTCTGTACAACTCAGAAATACAAGTTAACTCCCTTGTGGGCTGCTGGGGCTTTTGCCACAGCTACAGATATTTTTATAATCCAGATCTTGAAAGAGAGGAAGAATATGCTTCATGAATTTTTATAAGCCCAGCTTCCTTCCTGCTTTTACTTTTCTTTTCTTTTTTTTTTTTAATACTAGCACCAGATGACAAGATCCACTCTTGCCTGATCTGCATCCCAAATCCTGAAATACCCCCAGATCCCCATGTCGAGCACATAGTCCCCCCCCGGGAGGCTCAGCGAAGCGCCGCCGTTACTCACTCATCACACTGGGCGCTGCTGGAGCCGGCGGGGCTGCAGCCGCAGGGGTGGCACCGCTGGCTCCTCTGCTCCGGGTAGAAGCCCTGGGCACAGCTCTCACACCGCAGCCCCACATAGCCATCGAGGCAGGGGCACTGCCCCGTCGTGCCGTTACATTCTGCCGTGCTGATGCTCCCCACGGCGCTGCAGTTGCACAGGACTCCTGCAAGGAGAAAGAGAAGCTGAAAACCAGTTGTGCTGGGGGCCACGGCACTGAGCAAGACCTGAGCGGGGCCAGCGTCACTGTCACGGCACGGCTGCCCTCCCTTTGCTAACCCTACGTTGGAAATAGCATCGCTGAAAGGATGGTATTTGCTTTAAAATATTGAGATGGTAAAGAAAATGTTGGGAGCACCCTGGGGTTTGAATCCTTCATGGTTCATGTTTCAAATCTCTCTCCAAAAAGATCTAAGAGATTACGGGCTTAACTGCTTAAATACATATATATGTAGCTGTATAACACCTGTACATATGTACACACACACGGATATGTGACTCCAGGAGCTGACAAGTGCTAGCGGTTGTCATTAGGATAATCTCAGCAACAGGTGGCAAAAATCACTAATTATAAGATCCTCCATTTCACACTGTCGGAACAGCCCTGATTTACCAACAGGCTGGTGGTTAGGACACAGGACATACACAACACACACCGGCACCACGACGAGATGCTCCTGGAGAACAGAGACAGAACGCCCTGACCAGGAGCCAGGGTTGGTCCAGGCGTTCGGGCCGATGGCAGAGGTCCCCACTGCAGCAGCCCAAGCTCCCCTGAAAATCTGTCCTCAGGGGCATTCCTCATTGACCATGTGAAAACTGCTTTAAAATGTGGGGTGGTGGGGCTGGGGGCAGGATGGAGACCTGCCTGCTGCCCTTCACCACCTAAACCACAACAGGCCACCTTCACACACCCCCACGGGACACACACGTGTGCTTCGGGGACACTCACTTACAGGGGTTATGGAAAGCATGCACCGAGCAGACACCTTTATATAGAGTGAAGCAAATCTTTTCCCAGTCCCCTCACACATTATTTCTCATAACACTTTAAAGCACCAAACGCACTGAAGAGAACAACCTCTCCCCGGCAATTTGTTTCTGCCAAGAGCTTTATCTCTGTTCCTTCATTGCAAAATATTTAGTGCTTTAATAATTTAAAGTATTTTTCTGCCAGGAGTGAATTATAAACAAGGATTACTTGCAGAAGTAGTGCATCAAGCATTGGGGGCTTTACACGACCACTGGTATTTGTTATTCCCTGAGAAAAGCCGGTATTCAGGGCACTTTATGGGAGGGGGGGGGCATGTCTCCATCCCAAGAAAACTTGACTTAAAGCTCAAATCATATCAAGAAGATCCAACACTAATGCCCTAAGACAGCAGGAATTTTTCACACGATTATTTAACATTTATATTGCACACTCGTGCCCCAATCCAATAGAAAGGACTTCAGCAGGTGCCTGGATGGAACCACACTTAAAACCCAGTGACTGAATAAAGATTAATTTCTGAATACTTCAGGAATCTGCTGAAGTCAGACCACACTGAAGACCTCAGAGCATCTTTGGAAACAGAAGCCATAAGGTCCCCTGCATCACAGCAGCACTGTAAAGGCTCCCCCGTGTCGATCCTTCGGGGGGAGCAGCCCTCACCCTGGGCACATTCACCGGTGGGCTGCAGCAGAACGGGAAGGCAGATGATAGAGCAGTTTGCCAAAAACACATTAAATGAACATAAAACCACCATTATAGGTTGACTTTCCAAGGCACGCTACAAGCCAAGCGGGAGGAAAGAACATCCTCTCCCCAGAAAGGGACCCTACAGACGCCGCAGGACGTCTCTAACCAACAGCCAGCCAGGCTGCAGCACCCGCCTGTTCATCAGCCCCCAGCTCTTCTCACCTGTTTTCTTCCAACACACAAAGAACTATCAGTTATTTAGCTTTGTTACTCTATCGATACATGCACAGTATCCCCACAGAAGTCATTTTGTACCTATACACCTGTGAAATTGCACTTAAATTTTCTTCAATCTAAACTAGCAAATAGGACAAACACCTCAAGATCTGCAATTATCTACTTCAGCAGCCACTTCACATAATGAACCAAATTCCCATCTCAATTATCCAAGCGGAACCTTATCGATTTGGGCACTTGGGCTTCTCCCAGCCAGCAGGAGCTGTGAAAACCTGTTGAACAAAAGCACTTCGGAGTTTGTCAAACATGCTTCAAAACAAATTTACCTTTCAAAGCTCATTACACGTAGTGCCATTAAACTTGCTAGACTTGATTAAGAAAAGAAAACAAGCATGGTATCAGTTCTAACTGCGATGTGAGGCGCTGAGGGCAGGTCCAGCACCGCAGCAATGAGCTGCTCTGAGCAGAGACCATCCTTGTGCTCCAGGAACATCCCAGCCAGAGCCGCCACTGGCTGCACGCCGAGTCCACCCCGACGCTCCAGCGGCATCAGCCGAGAGCTGAACTTCTTTGGCTGGAAAGTGACGGGTGCTACATGTCAAATTCCCATTCGAAATGCTGCCATCCTGCTGCACATGTGATGGGAGAGCATCCCTTCATGCAGATGGGGACCATCCACAAGCACTGCCCCACTCCTGCCCTCTCCATCCATCCAGCACTGATGGACGCGGCTCGCCAGGAGCCGTCAGATCCCAAAAGGACACAGGGGCACAGCCAGTACCTGGACACATTGCTGTGAACATTAAGCAGCCTCATACACTGCAAGAGCCTGAAAGGAGGCAGGGCTGTGCTGTATCAGGTTTTATGAACTTGACTGATGAACTTGGGGTTTGTGGTCATGCTTGCACTAAGGGAAAAGGGAGGGCTGTCCTAAAATATATTATACTGAGAGGAGAGGGGAGAACTGATGTTGACAGCATACCACCTTCCAAGAAAATCAGCCACGGCAAAAAAGGAAAAAACAGAAGTCAGAGAAGAAGAGCTGCATATATTGGCAAGAGCCCCACGCTTCTTTTGCCCTTTATCAAAGGGTCTTAATCATCCAACAAAAGGGTCCAACCACTGCCAAACCATGGTGCAACTCATTATGAACATCATCGCTGCTTACAGGAGCCCCACATGTGCTGGGCAGCAACGGGAGGCGAAGACAGGATCTGTCCGGACCCTGCTGCCTTATCTGAGGGATGCAAACATGAACAGCCTTGCTGGAAAAAGCAGCTGACTTGGGGTTGATCTTGGCAATGGTACCAGCTATCAAACTGGGTTCTCCTTCCAGCAGCAGTACCATTTGTGCACCAAGATGCTTTTGGAAAGATGTATGCTTTCCAAAAACACATACAGACACTTCCCAATGCCTTCCCCCCCCCCTCTCCCGAGGTCTTTGCCCATCAAAATTGCACAAAGTCAGGTCAAAACCTGGAGGTGGATCGGCCTCAGCAGCCAAACTCAATGGCAACGCAGACCCCATCAGCTCTGCATACACCAGTTCCCCAGGAGAGCGAGAAATACTTCAATAATCCAAAATAACACAGGCAAAAGGCAGCTTTTTGTCTGCAGGCTGGTGGAGCGCCGGCTCCAGCTGCCTCGGCAGTGACAGGGGAGGCTGGTTCTGCTGCCGGTGGGGGTGCAGAGCTGAGCCTGGCTGCTGAGGGAGAGACGAAATCACCTCCAAGGACACAATAAGGCACAACAGGGCAGACACAGAAGACATCTCCCAGAAGGGTCGTTTCCTTGTTAGGCCCTGCCTCCTGCAGACCACCCCAGAGATTTTTGGGGAGACATGATGGTTCACTCCTGGGGAGCAGCATCACGCGTGGTCCCCCCTATGCACCCCCAAGACACCCTCATTGCACCCAGCTCGGCTCACACATCTGCCTGGCTGATGAAACCTAAAAACACCCTAAAGCCCCTTTGGTTGGGCAGTGGAGGAGAACTGACAGCAGCATGAAAACCCACTGCCTAGCACAGCATCAAGGTTTGATGTGATGAAGTACCAGACTATGAAAACCCGAGGCTTAATTTAAAAGACACTTTGTTGTCCCGATGGCAGCCGGGTTGGAGAAGGTGAGCATAGTCCACAGCCAGAAAAGGAAAGCGATAATGAACATCTACCTCAGACTCTGGGAACACAGCAAAGATGATGAGCACTACAGAAGAAGATTAGGGAACATTATCCTGGCTCCTGGCCAGAGCCTGGGTTTTTGGAGACTTTATTCAGTTTTCTCAAGCAAATGTTTTGCTTTTGAAGGTAACCTTCAAAAACACCTTACCGAGAGCTTTTGCAAGCGCAAAGGAACAAACACAGGTGGATGAACCCCAGAGCTGCCCCGTGCTGGGCTGCTCAGCGGAGATCGGAGATACTGCACTGAGGTTGGGATGACACCATCAGCAATGGAAGCCAAGGGCAAAAACCTTGCAGGAACAGGGAATGACCCAGCCTTCGACTCCTGGCTCTCCCCAACTTGCTGTAGTCACTCACCTTTGCTCTGCATCAGTTTCCCCATCCACAGGGTGCCCACCCACCCCCCAATGCCTCCGAGCTCTGCTCATCTCTGTATCTGCTTCCCATTTCCAAAGCGTGGAGGTTTCCCTTCCTTCCCCATGAAGCACCATGCAACAGCTCAAAGCACTTGGGTGCCAGTGATAAAAACCACCACCTTTGCTCGTGATGGTGCTGACAGGCTTTAATTAATTAACAGCCCAATGACGTTTTGAGAAGCCGGAATAGAGGCACTATAAAAGTGCATATCACTGCCACATGTTACTCCTTCAAGAAAAAAAAAAACCAAAACCACCACTCCCTTCATGAGCAGCATTTTAACCTCTAGTTTTCATTGCTTAGAGTCAGGTAGAGTAAGAGAAAAGGTTTACAGTTTGCTACAGCAAGGGACACGCTGCTGTATGGGCAGATTTAATACATAATTTCAGTTGGCTGCAACCCTGAACTGATTAATTATTATGCAACAGTCATAGGGTACTAATAAACTGGAGAATAGTTATTTCTATGTTTTATTATCTTGGATACAGGCCATGGCTGGAAGTGGCACAAGTACAACCAAGAACATGCCTGGTTTGCGGGGCCGGGGGAGCGCGGTGCCCTGCGACCCCTCGGCACGGCCGCCGGCTCCCCAGCGCAGCCCCTCCAGCCCACACCCCCAGCGGGGATCTCATTCCCCAAATCTCATTCCCCAAATCCCAGCCCAATGCAAAGCCCTACCCTGCAAACCCCAGCAACATCTCTGCCTGAGCCAGGTCTGGCGTGACACTGCGCCCCTTCACCTCCCATCCCCTCCTAGTACTTAAATCGGGCTCGTTCTGGTGTAAAAATAAGTTCTTAATTATTTCTTCACATCCTTTCAGACCTATGGTGTTTTAAGTCTTCACATGTATTTTAAGCATGATTCCTTTCCCCATCCAAGCCACTTAATGAATGAATAATTTAAAAACAAGTGAAATATTTACAAATGGCAAAAAAAGAAAACACTGTGAAACACACGAAGATGTCTATATGAAACCATAATCGCTGGGGACGTCCTGAAACAGTGCAAATCCTGAATGAAGCCACCTACTCACTGGGAAGCAGCATGGAAAATCCAAGATGCACATTTTTTGTTAGAAGAACGCACAGCTGAAAGAGCAAGCTGTGAAGTCAGAGATGCTATTTATTGTCCTGATTCAGAAACATCCCCAGGGAGACAACCATTTTCTATTCTATAGACTAAATGAAGGGGGGGGAAAAAAAAAAATAAATATATATATATATATA